TGCCGACTCGGAGAGCACGCGTGCTGGCGAGCAGGTGCACGGAGATCGCTGCGTGGCTGCGGCCCTCCACCCTCTTCTTCTTGACCTGCCCACGCAGCAGCGGCTCAAGGAACGCCGCGAGGAGCAGCGCCAGCACGGCCGCACAAGAGCGGAGAAAGAGCAGCGAGGCCACATCGACCTCTGAGAGGGCCGTGGCGGTCGTGAAGCTCTCCGCGAGTGAGGGTTTCACGAGTCGAGAGCCGATCTTGGTCGCGCCGCAAGTCTCGTCAAATGGGGCGAGCTCGGCGTAGGCGCCGATGTTGAGCTTCATGGAGGTAGTGCTTTCCTTGAGCGCCGCCTCCAGCGCCTGCTGGTCGAGGTCGAGGTTGGCGTGCTTGGTCACGTCCGAGCCGGGGGTGTAGCCCGCGATGTCGGGCCAAGGTCTCGTTTTGTTCCACGCCGCCGCCACGCCGCCAGGCGAGAGGCCGCCCACGTCGGCGCAAGTGATGCCGAGGCAGTCGTAGGTGCTCTCGAAGGCGGCCTTGACCGCCGCGAAGTCGGGCGCCGTCCCCTTCTTGACCGCCTCGATCCGCGCGGCGTCGCCGAGCGTGGCGAAGTTGTTCGGGCCGTGCCGCCCGCTGCTGAAGGTCATGTTGGTGCCGTCGAGGGCGGCGCTCACCCACTTGTCGGCGTAGTCAAAGTCCTCGTAGTAGTCGTAGAAGGCCGAGAAGGTCTGGTACGGGCAGCCGGCGCAGTCGCTGCCGTTGTACATCTTGCCCTCGGCGCTGGTGGAGAAGCCCTTCATGGTGCGGAGCCCGCTGGGGGCCTTGCCCGACAGCGAGTTCCCGCCGACGGCGTACAAGTCCTCGGCCAGGTCAAAGTTTGGAGTGTCGGTGCCGTTAGTGCTTTCCTTGAGCGCCGCCTCCAGCGCCTGCTGGTCGAGGTCGAGGTTGGCGTGCTTGGTCACGTCCGAGCCGGGGGTGTAGCCCGCGATGTCGGGCCAATCGCTGCCCTCAACGAGACCCAGAAGGAGACCCAGTAGGGCGACGAGGCCCGCCATCTCGCCCACGTTGTTTTGGATCTGCGAGGACGGGGGGGACAGGCGGCGGCGCGAGCGTCAGAAGCATAAAATGGGACGAGCATGGCGCGGGCTCGTTTTGGGGGTCGCGGGGGCGCAGTAGGCACGGAGGCGACCCGCGGCCGCGCGCTCAGCAGCGCTCAGACCGGCAATCCGATTGTGCCAGATTGACTCAATCCTCGGAGCGAGCCGCTCGCGCGGCGGTCGCAGCACGGCGTGCAGCCGGCACGGGCTCGCTGCAGTGGTGGTTGTGGGGCGAGGCGAGAGGGCCCGCGCGGGCGCAGCTCTCATCTCGCGCTGCGTCGCGCCGGGCGAGGGGCGAGGCGAGAGGCAACCACGGCAAACGGCACCTCGGCAATCCGCTCTGGATCATCCAACAACTCCAAATACGGCGTGCGGAGGGCGTGCAGCGAGGCCCGACTCGAGCCAGGTCGGCGAGTGCGGGGCGGCTATAAAATGAACTCGGGGGCACGGGACGCGGCACATACGGGGCACAAACGCGGGGCGGAAGGCGCTCGTATAGCAAAGAAAACACATTTCCCACAAGCGCCCTGGCTTTTCTGTTTTCCTGCTTGTTTCGAGAAGAAAAGAAACAGTTACTCCGGCTCAGCCCGCAAAAGGCGACGCTCTCACGCGATTGCTCACGCAGGCTCCCGCCGCTCAAGCCGCCGCTCAAGCCGGCAAAACATGTCCCTGCTAGCGTTCGCGCTGCCCACCCGGTCGCCACCCGTCGCGCTCCATGTGAGTGGGCCTCGGGCGTGTGTGGACCGGTCTCGATGGCGGCACGCTCTCTCTGACCTCAGCGTGCAAAGTACGATCGGAGGCAGCCTCGACGACGGCCTCGCCGCGCGGGTGTGGGACACCTACGACCGCATCGACTACGAGGCGGTGCTAGCAACGAGCGCAGCCGACGTAGTCGTCGATGACTCTGCAGAGGAGCTGACGTACGGCGAGTCGGACCTCGGCTTCTGTCTCGACGTGGTCGCGCGAGCGCGTGCCGCCGCCGCCGCCTCCTCCACCGACCGCCGCGGATTCTGCGACCTCGGAGCGGGCCGCGGCGCGATGGCGCTGGGCGTGGCGCTGGCGGAGCCGCAGCTCGAGGAAGGTGCCGGAGCGGCAGAGGCGTCGGAGGTGGTCGCGCTCGAGGTCGTGCCGGAGCTGTCTGCGATCGCCTCCGCCGCCTTTGCCGTCGCCAGCGACGCTCGCCTCCTCTCACTGCAAGGCTCATTTTACGATCACGATGTGCGATCAGCACACGCCCGAGACCCAGCAGCCGAGCGGCCGGCTGACCCCCACCGCTCGCCCGCACAGCTGCTGCGGCGCGCGGTCCGCGGTGCGCAGGTTGTCTACGCGTACGCGTCCAAGTTCGACTCTGCGGACGGGCAGCACGCGGCGCGGCCTCGCCGCGGCCCTCGGCTGCGGCTGACGGGCCACCCTCCCGCCGACCCGCCGGGGAAGTGCTTTGCCTCTAGGAGCGCCTGTCCGCAGCCCTCGCCGCCGCGTTGCGCGCCTGTCCGGACGGCGGGCGCGGTTGCGTCGTCGGCATCGTCAACAGGCGTCGCTCCATGCGCCGGCGAGCGAGTCTGTGGCTCTCGCTGGTCGAGTCCTCTATACCCTATAGGCGGCTGTGCGAGGCCGACGGGTGGCGCGTCGCCGCGCCACCACTGCAGGGGCCCACGCCCGAGGAGAGCGCGCGGGTGGGGGTGGCGCGTTTCTACCGTCTCGTCGCACCACCGGGCACAGGCGTCTCGTAGGAGGGAGGGGACAGAGGAGGCTTTAGGTTAGCGTTACAACTGACATGTAGGCCAGGTAGAAAGGTGAAGAACAGTCTCGAACTGGACACCAACGCGGTATGGGTGGGGACGCGCGGGACAGACGAAGTCTTGGCCGTCCGAAAAGAAAAGAAACCGCCGCAGCGCAGCCCCGGCTGCAGGCGGGCACGGGGGACGTGCCCAAGGACGGCCGCCCGCCTAGCGCCTTGTTTACCCAAAGGTCTCCCACGCCGCAATCCGACCAATGGAAATTACACAAGCCGTGCCACATTCTCCGAGGTGCATGTCGTGTGCGCGGCCGAGGAGGAGGGCAGCAAGGCGCGGTGAGCCTGTGTCTGCTGTCTCCGTACGTATACTCTCGTCTCTTGTACGTCCACATCTCTCTACGTCTCTCTCTCTCTCGGTGTTGTAGATAGACTCGATTTCACTCGCGAGTCCCGAGTCGTATTCATCCCGCGCTTGCAGTTGCACTGTGGGTTGACGGTTGTTGATGTTGCACCATGTGTTGCAGCCTTGCACTCTGGTTGCACGTCACTGTACACCTGAGCCACCTGGCTGCCGTCTACTCGACGTGACATGTGTCTCAGGTCTCACCAAAAACGGACACATACAAGTGTGTCACAACCAGGAACCACACACACACAGCTCGCACCTCGTAAACGCAATAATTACACAGGGGCCCCTGTGCCCCCGTGAGTCCTTCCAAGATCCTGCTCGTGCAGGTGGAACGCCCGGCGAGACGCTTTGGGTTTGGCCAATCTCTCTCAGTCTCACAAGCGCGTCGTCTCGCCGCGCGCACAAGCGCACAACGCTACTATGCTTGATGTTTCTGAGCGCTGTCGCGGGATGGTCGCAAGTCTTTGGTGGCGCCGCACACCGAGCGCTCTGCACGTTGCGGGGCAAGACCTACAAACCCCGTTGCGACCTTCCTTGGCGTGCGGTGCCCACCAGCCACGAGCAGGTGCCACGATGGCTACTCGGGTCCCCACTGCCAGTCTGAAGCGCCGTGGCTTGCACTTGCATACGGCTTTGACATTAACCCGTTCGCCTTACTTTATCCGCAAGAAAGCTTTTCAACATTTCGTCGGAACTCGGAAGACGTGGATATTGCGCCCGAATATAACTCGACCCATCGCTCAAGACCTACATCGAAGCTGTGCCTCTGTCGCGCGTGCAAGACATCGCAGAGACACTGGGCAGCTTCTACGCGCGATCTACCAAAAGACATACACCATGCAGGCGACAGCATATGACACTCAGGCAAGTGTCGAAACGGCGCTCAGAGCAGGACGAGGCAACTGGTTCATCGGAGGCGAGGGATCGTTCACAGTTCACCGACAGCCATACGAAGCGTATAGATGTTGAAGGAGCGCTGATGACGACGAGCTTCCACGCCGAGGGCGGGGACACCAAGCTTTGGCTCGCAGTGGATGGGCTCGGAACTAACTTCGAGGAGGTGCGGCGGCGATGGGCGGCGAGCTTCGCTGCGGACGGCCACGACCTCTACCCGTGGGGGCTGGAGCTGCGCCCCATTTGGGAGGTGGTGGAGCGGATCGATGCCGCAAAGCCAAAGGGCGTGCGCGGGCGTGCGCGCACGTGCGCGGGCGGGCGCGTAGTGCCGCGTAGTGCCGCGTAGTGCCGCGCGCGCGCGCGCGTGCGCGCACGTGCGCGCGCGTGCGCGGCGTGCGCGGCCAGGGCGCAGGCAAGAGTGCCTGAGGGCATGGGGGTGGGCGCCACCCTGGGGCTACCCATAGCATCGTCGGCTCAGTGATGGGTATACGGTTCGGATATGCCTTGGCCATTGCGCATTGCGTGGAGGATATTATGGGATTGGGCCTCCTTGCAGGTGTGTTGCTGTTGGGACATGGGAGACTGGTTGGGTAGTAGGCTAAGTTCTGTGAGCCTCGAGGCTTTACGGGTCTAAGTGTGACCGGTCACGCTGGGGTGCTTACGCGGTCTAAGATCGGCGGGAGCCTCTTATGGTTGCGGGCTAAGTCGGCCGTGATCATTATAGGGTTGCCTCAAAATGTTCTTCGCCTGCGGCGGGCGTGCGCCGTCGGCGTCGCAACTTGCGCACGGAGGCTGAGAGGAGGGCGTGCGCGGCAAGTGGCGACGGCACTTGTAGCTTTTTGACCCATGGGGTCGTGCAAAATATCCAGGGTTCACACTTTTTAGTTTGCAGACCGCGGGCCGGAAAAGGTTGGGCTGTGGCTGGGCGCCCCGGCGGCGCACGCGTACAGCCGGTGGGTCGGTCGGCGCATCTTCGCCATGTACGCGGACATGGTCCCGACGGACCCTCGCAGCGACGGGTCCGGCAGCTCCGGGTGCGCTGCGAAGTACGCCACCGCCTTGGCGTGCATCTCGGCGCGCAAGTGTGGGTCGGTGCACACGTGCAGGCTCGAGTTGGCGCGGGCTGCGAGGAGCAACCTCCGTTCCTCAGCGCCGAGCAGCGGAGCGAGGCGATCCGGCGAAGGGACGCTCCGCAACGCAAAGTGCAGCACGGTGGCGACGAGTGCGGCTTGCTCCGGCGCATGGAAGTTGGCATCGCGCCGCGACCGGAAGTAAAAGTGAGGGTCGCGCGAGTAGCTGAGCCACGTGGGCAGGAAGCTCTCGAGCACCCACCGCGTGCGGCGCACCGAGATGAAGCCGGCGTTGAGCATCATCGGGTCAGCCTGCAGGTCGACGCTGCAGCGCGGCCCGCGACGCGCGACGCTCAGGCTGCTGCCGCCGCCACTCGCGTCTCCGCTCGGCGCGCGCGTCTGCGCAAAGATCGACTCGAGCGACCGGTCGGGGCGCAGGACGAGCGTATCGCTGTCGAGGAACGTGCACCGGGTGGCGTTGCCGTTGTCGGCGAACAGGCGCAACATCGCGTCGACCTAGTACCAGACGGTCTCGGCGAGCTGCGGCGACCTGTGCGTGTGCGCACACGGGCGTCCTCAGTTTCGGAGCGTGGGGCGCAATTTGGAATGGGGCGACGCGCGCACTCCTCGCCACGACGGATTGGCGTCTTGAGCGGCACCATGTCGAACTGCCAGCCGTAGCCGTGGCGCTCCGCGTAGCGCTGCTTCGAGAGCGTCTGCGCCGGGCACGGGTCCGTCGTGCCGAACCAATAGGAGAAGAGCAAGTGATGCTCGTGATGCCGGCGCTTGTGGCGTTGCTGCGCGCGACGCGGCCATGGCGACGTGGTGTGGCGGTGTGAACGTGAGAATCGGCCGGCGGCGGCTCAGCTGCGCTTGCTGATCGTCGCGAGTGGCGTGCGCGAAGAGTGCTCACGGCCGGCGGGAACTCACGCGAATCGGGGCTGCGTGCTCCGCCGCGGGCCGCCTTAGGGCTCGTCGAGCCGCCGGCGGCCGCAGCTGCTGGATGGGGTGCTCCGGCTCCAAGGACGCGAAGCTGGAGTTCCAGGAGGCGCCGTCGCCATCTGCCTCTCCGGTGCTGAAGCCCGAGGGGATCGGCGTGGAGGCTGTAAAAGCCAGCAGCGTCCTCGTCGCAGTCGGCACGTACACGCCAATCATTCACCTCTTCTCTCTCGATTCGCAAGCGGCGCTCACGCCAGTCGCCACCTCGACGGAGTTCGGCTCCAACCACGAGGCAATCGTCCTCTCGCCTGTGTCGGGGGACACCGCCACCCTTGTGGTGGCGAACAACAACGCCGCATCGATTGCGGCCAACGGCATAAGCGGCCCGGAGCACCTGCAGGGCGAGACGCACGTGCATACTGCGCGAGTCTCTGCCGCGGGCAACGTCGAGCCGTGCACCAAGCTGCTCTTGCCCGGCGAGGGGCCCATCCACGCTTGTGTGCATCCCTCGGGCACAGTGGCCATTGCCAATTACGTGGGTGGGACCATGAATCTGGTCGCGGACAGCACCGTGGTGAACACAGAGAAGCTCGCTGAGCCGAACCACGGAGGATCCGCCCACATGGCGACCTTCGATTTCTGCACCCCAGCCTACCCGTTGCGTACATTATCTACGAGGCGGAGGGCGACGTGGCGACGTGGACGTGGCCGCGTTCCGACGAATGGAACGCGGACGGCACCCCTCAAAGGACGCCCAAAGAGCTGCAGCGGTGCAAGACATCGCCGCACGACGGTTTGAACCTGCCCACCTCGTTTTCTCTCACCGCAAAGGGTGACTTCGGCTACACCACCACCCGCACCGCCCGCGTGCCCGGCGGCGACGGGCGACCACCGGCCCCAGTGGGCGTCTTCGAGGTGGATGCGGCCGAGGGCACACTCACGCACCGCCAGTGGGTCGACAGCGGCGGGTGGAACACGCGCGACAGCGTGCTGAGCCCGGATGACAGCGCGCTGCTGGCGGTGGACGTCCTCGGCGGCACGCTCACTGCGTTCAAACGCGACGTGACGAGCGGACTGCTCGAGAAGAGCGCAGTGGTCAGCGCGCCCAAGGCCACGGGGATCACCGTGTGGAAGCCGGCCTCGTAGTTGACCTTGCACGTGTGTTGAACACACGTGTCGTGCTTGTGCTTGTGCTTGCTTGCGCTTGCTGCTTGCCACCTTGCGTTGCTGCTGCTCGGTGCTGCTGCTTTGAGTGGGTCGGTCGATCGGTGCAGCTCACGACCGTTACTGCATGCCGCGTTCGCATGGGGCACCCGTTTTTTTTTTTAGCTCTTACAACGACCGGACAGCCGGCCCTGAGCGACGGTATCCCTGGTAGCTTGGAGTGTGTGGTCTCTACAACCCCTACACCACATCCCACACCGGTAGAGCTCGACTGCACCTCGGCAAGCATACGAGAAAAAAATTGCGACGCCTTGCGACGCCTACAGACACAAGCGACAAGGGGATCGAAGAAAAGCGCTTTTGATTGCGTCTTCAGACATTCACTTCATTTGAACTCGGGGGCACGGGACGCGGCACAAACGGGGCACAAACGCTTAGCCTTGTTATTGAGAAGAAAATTGCTCTGTGAAACACACAAACATTCACGCTACCTACGCGGGCACCCCGCCCGCAGCGCCAGACTCCGCTGGCCAGGCGATGTGGGTCGTCGGCCTCACCGGTTCAATCGGGATGGGCAAGTCTGCGGTCTCAGACATGCTGCGCGGGCTGGGCGTCCCTGTAAGCGACGCCGACGCGATCGTGCATGCCATCTACGCAAAGGGCGGGGCGGCTGTGGAGCCGCTCTCGCGCGAGTTTCCCGGAGTGGTCATCGACGGGGCAGTGTCGCGGCCGGCGCTCTCCAAAGCCGTCTTGGGCGATGCGGCCGCTCTCAAGCGGCTCGAGGCGCTCGTCCACCCTCTGGTGCGTGCGGCGAGGCGCGACTTCCTCGCTCGCGCGCGCGCTGCTGCTGAGCCACTCGCGGTCCTCGACATACCGCTCCTGTACGAGGCGGGCTGCGAGAAGGAGTGCGACGAGGTCCTCGTGGTGAGCGCGCCGCCAAGCGTGCAGCGAGAGCGCGTCCTGTCGCGCCCAAACATGCGCGCGATGGCGCCGGAAGAGGCGGCGGCAAAGTTTGAGGCGATCCTGGCCAATCAGCTCCCCGACGCCGAGAAGCGCAAGCGCGCCCACTGCGTCATCGACACCGGCGCGCCAATGGAGAGCACGCGCGCCGCGGTCGCCGCCTTTGCAGAGCAGCGCCGCCCGCTGGGCGCGCAGAGGAGACGGCGGCGGCGGCTAGCGGCGGCGGCGGCGGCGGCGGCGGCGGTTGCGGTGCTGGTGGCTGCTGTCGCGGGCCGACACCGCTGAAGGATGCCTAGGAAGGACGCCTAGGTAGAGCTGTAGAGCGGCGACGGTCGCAGGTGTCAACCCAACGTGTGCGTGTGTCGTCCGTGTATTGCAATTGGTTGTGTGGCCCGGCCAAGACGCAAGACGCCGCGTCGGACTTTTTAGAAAAGCCGTCACCGGCCACACGAACACACCTCACACGTCTCGCTTGAGATATGCACATATATCTGTCTTTCATGTGCATGTGCGCCCGAAATGTCAAATCACAAAATGGGAGGAATGTCAAATGAAAGTGCCAAGTGGTCGGACCCGACCGGACACGACAACATGTACATGTACATGTACCTTGATTGGAGCGAGACGCCAGAAAACAAACCGAAAAGATACACTCACGAATCAGAAAAACGCAACAATAAATAAATAAAGAACTAGAGAATAAATAAAACGGACATCCCAAGCTAGGGCTGGGTCGAGGACAGACACGTCCCCACCTTTGCAGGATAGGATTTTGCAAGGGCGAGGGGGAGGGGGCGCATCGCGGCGTGGAGAGGGTTGGGCACAGACAGTGCCTTCAAGACGTTTTCTCTTCGGTTGGACGCGACTGCAATGGTGGGCGACGCCGAGGCGGACGAGGAGGAGTCGCAGGTGGCCACGAACCTGGCCAAGGCGGCGGCGCTCAAGGAGGAGGGCAACGAGGCCTTCAAGCGCGGCGACTACAAGGCCGCGATGATCGCGTATCATCAAATCTACATGTACGTGCACGGCTTCTCTGAGACATCCGGTGGCGCTGGCGCGTCAAGCTCGCCGGCCGGTCTGCCTTGGAGCCCACGCAAGTCGGTCACCGAGGCCGAGACGGCGCAGCTTCGCTCGCTCAAGGTCGCGCACTTCTCGAACCTCGCGGCGTGCCACCTGAAGCTGGGCGCCGTGCCAAAGGCGCGAGACTGCTGCTCCAAGGCCCTCGCCCTGGATCCGGGCCACCTGAAGGCGCGCTTCCGCCGCGGCAAGTGCCTCGCGGCGCTCGGTGCGCTCGACGACGCGCGGGACGACCTCGAGACGGTTGCTGCGCCCTCCTACCCTCCTACCCTCCACCGCCCACATCGGAAGTGTCTCGGAAGTGTCTAGGAAGTGTGCTGCGCGCCCACCCTCCTACCCTCCACCACCGCCCACCCCTGCGACGCCTCTTCTCCCTCCCCGCCTCTCTCCTCTCCTGCCGCCTCTCTCTGCTCTCTGTGTCGCGAGAAAGCGAAGCGGAGCCCTCCCCCTAAAGGTCCTGCGCGCCGACCCCGAGAATCGCGAGGCGCACCGGGAGCTGCGCGAGCTCAAGATGCGGCTGGCGACGCAGCGGCGGCGCGAGGCCAAGAAGTTTGCGGGCTTCTTCGACCGCCTCGTGGGCGAAGCAGCGGACGGCGGGACGCCCGAAGACAGCCCTGACGGCGGCGACCAGAGCGGGTCGGCCGAGCAGTCGCTGCCGCGAGAGGAAGAGGCGGAGATTGGCCGAGATTGGCCGAGATTGGCCGAGATTGCGCGAGATGATCCGAGATCGGCCGCGAGCGGAGGCGGAGACGCCGCCCGCTCGCCGGCCGACTTTCTTTTTTCGCCCACCCTCTTTTTGTTTTCTCAGGCGGAGGCGCCGCCAGACGCGCCCACGCCCGCGCCCGCCGAAGCGGCGGCAGCGGCGGCAGCGGCAGCTGCGGCGGCAGCGCCGGCGGCAGAGGCGGCGACGGAGGGAGAGGCGGCGACGGCGGCAGAGGCGGCGACGGAGGCAGAGGCGGCGACGGAGGGAGAGGCGGAGGCGGAGGGAGAGGCGGCGGCGGAGGCGGAGGCGGAGGAGGAGGCGGAGGAGAAGGCGGAGGCGGAGGCGCCAGTCGAGGCACCGGTCGCGCCGGCGGCCGCGCCGCCGCCCGCCGCCAACATCGAAGGAGGCCTCTCTGAAAGTGAGGTGGAGAGGCGGCGGGTGGCGGCGGGCAAGCTGAGAGGCTGTGTTCGAAGTCGTCCGTGAGGACATGTCCGGGACACGTCCACGACATGTCCGAGACGTGTGGCCGTAGGCCTCGGCCGCTGCCCCCATACCTCCGGAGTCTCGAATCCAGTGTGGGTTCAGGTCCTTGGGTGGTGCGGTAGGCCTCTCACGCTCGCAGCTGCTCGAGATCATCGAAGCGCAGGCGCGCGCATCCCCTACCCCCACGGTACCCGAACCCATACTCCCCTACCCCACGGTACCCGAACCCACCCTCCCTACCCCACGGTACCCGAACCCACCCTCCCTACCCCACGGTACCCGAACCCACCCTCCCTACCCCACGGTACCCGAACCAACCCTCCCTACCCCACGGTACCCGAACCCACCCTCCCTACCCCACGGTACCCGAACCTACCCTCCCTACCCCACGGTACCCGAACCTACCCTCCCTACACGGTACCCGAACCCACCCTCCCTACCCCACGGTACCCGAACCCACCGCGATGCCCTTCTCCCTGGGAAGCGCACACTCCATTGTGTCTTGCCCCAGCTGCACTCCGTCGTCTGTGGCGGCGCGGTGTGTCGCACTGACCGACAGACCGACGGACCGGCGGGCGCGAGATGTAGTCGAGATGCAGCCGAGATGCAGCCGAGACCCAGCCGAGACCCAGCCGAGACCCAGCCGAGATGCAGCCGAGATACTGACAGGCGGGCGCGAGCGACGCCGCGCTGCGCGTGGCCGAAGCGGCGATCCCGGCGGCGGTTGCGGCGGCGAGGGCGGCGGCGTCGGCGTCGTTTGCGCCGGGAGCGGATGCGGCGGCGGCGGCGGCTGCGAAGGCGGCGACGGCGCGGGCGGCGGCGGCGCGGGCGGCGGCGGCGCGGGCGGCGGCGGCGCGGGCGGCGGCGGCGCGGTCGGCCACGCTTCCGGCTGCTGAGGCTGGGGCGGTGAGAGTGGTGGCAGAGGCGACGGAAGGCCCTCTCGGGGACATTGGGGAGCG